ATAACTAAACCAGGAAGAGTGAAAACAGAGAACAAAAACCATACACCAATTTCCCTAATGAATATTGATATAAAAATTTTAAATAAAATATTAGCAAGGAGAATTCAGAAGTACACCAAAAAAAATGATGAGCAAGCTAGATTTATACTAGAAATGCAGGGCTGGTTCAATATTAGAAAACTATACACATAAATGACCACATTAACAACAAAAGCAACAAACATAAGAATATTTCAATAGATGAAGAAAAAGCTTTTTAACAAAATACAACACCTATTTCTGTTTAAAAAAAAAGCCAAAACACTAAAAAGCTTAGAAATAAACAAAGCTTTCCTTAAAACAAAAGTAGTATCTATCTGAAACCAGGAGACAGAATTATCTGTAATGGAGATAAGCTGGAAAAATGTCCAATAAGATCAAGGATAAAACAAGGATGTTCATTATTGCCATTATTATTCAATTCAGTACAAGAAACACTAGCTATAGCAACAAGATGAGAAAAAGGAATGGAAGATACATGTGTAGGGAAAGAGGAAACAAAACTATCACTCTTTACAGATGATATGACAGCTTACTTAGAGAACCAGAGAGTCAACTAAGAAAAGAAGTGAAACAATTGTAAAGTTGGAGGATATAAAATAAACCCATGCACATCATCAGCATTTCTGTATATTACCAACAAAATTGAGCAGGAAGAGATATAAAGAGAAATTCCATTTAAAATGCCTATAGATAGTGTCACATATTTGAGAGTTGACCTGCCAAGACAAACACAGGAATTATATGAATACAATTACAAAGTATTCTTTACACAAATAAAGACAGATTCACATTTTCTGGAGTCCAAATTCAACATTATCCACCATGCCACCTAGCTGCCTCAAATGTGAGTTATTAATATGTCAGCTCTGGAGAAGAATATTATCTTTGTAAAAATCCGGTAGCTATTTAGACATTTAGAGTCCCCATTTCAGTACTGTGTTGGAAGTGCCTTTGATATATGATGCTCAGTAAAGGTCAAGTTGCCTCCAGTTGGAATCTCAACATGATGTTAGAATAGTATAGTATAGTACAGTACAATACAATAGAACAGAATCCTTGCTGCTGTAGGGTAGTTAGGAATAGGTAGGAAGATATTTAGATGGGAATAGGTAGGAAGATATTTAGATGGCCGTATATGTAGAACACAATTGAAAAAAACAAGATTTCATTTGTCTCATTGACAACATTTACAGAACACATAAAATAAAGAGATTAGGCAACTCCATTGATGGGCAAGGTTAGCCCTCCTTTGTAGACCTTATTACTCTCTTACTGTTATGAATACCAGGATGTTAGCAAACAACTAATGTTTAACATATCTATCAAAAGTCATACATGCCAATGCATTATATATGTTTTGAACGTAAAGCTAAAACTAAGCATAAAGTGAGGAAAATATCTCAAGACAAGGTCAGAATCATATTCTCCTTCCCTAGACTTTGTTACAAAATGTTACATAACTCCTACCACAACTAATATCAGAAACCAATTTGAATTTAGTGGTGTTGATACAACCAAAATTTCATTTGGTTTCTATTTTACTGGTATTGCATAGTGAAATATTACAAACTCTAAAACAGCACAATTTTTCTCATCTTCAGCTCCTGGGTAATAAATTAGACACAGAAATTCATGTGGGGGAAATACATATCAAGCATAATTGATAAATTATATTTAAAGTTTTAATTTATTTGGACAGGTGAACATAGATAATCTAAGAATATATTTCATGTGGTAGTTCTGAATAATGTTTAGACACTTCCAGGGAGTACTATTTATTTCATGGTAGAGAGAAGAATAACACATCAAGAATAGAGAGTTATGTTATACTACTCAGGCAACAAGTTGCAATGGATAGAACTCTAAACCTGAAGTCAAGAAATTAAATCTGGCCTCAGAATCTTATTAGCTGTGTGACCAGAGCAACACACAACCTCTATTTGTCTCAGTTTCCTTAACTGTAATAGCAGATACCTCCCAAGGCTGTTGTGAAGATCAAATGAGGTAATATTTGAAATAGAAATGTTAGCTATCATTATCATTATTATTTGCTAGGGAAAAAAATGCAATACCAAACACTGAGCAACAATAAAGATGTATAACTACAAAAATCATTCCTTTCAATTCTATTCTTAAAGCTAATGTTTCCTGCACATTAGAGGGATAAATAAATAGCTGTGTCTTTGAAACCTGAATCTGCTCAGGTTATCCACTACTGTACAAGAATTTGACTTACAAATCAAATCTGTTCTTTAGTCAACAGGCTGAAAATTCCCTATTTCTGTCAAAGGCATCACCATTTTTTAAACCTCCCAAGTTCATTACCTCAGTGTTATCCTTATCCCCTTGTTCTGGCTTAATATACATATTTAGCCATTTTTACCTCCACAATATCTCTCAGATCTAACCTCTTCTCTCAACACACAGAGCCACCAACCTAGTTTAGGTCTCCATCACCCATCCTGTGGACTACTATGATGGCCTTCTAATTGGTCTCTCTGTATCTAGTCCCTCTCCACTCCAATCAATCCTCCACACAGAAGCCAGAGTGATTTTCCTTAAACACATATCTGAGCACGTCAGAACCCTACTTAATAAACTCTAATTGCTCTCTATTGCATCTAGGATCAAATACAATCTCCTCTTTGTTTTTAAAAGTTTTAAAGCCTTTCACAAGATAGCCCCAGTCAATCTTTCCAGTCTCATCATATATTACTTTCCCTCTTGCACTCTACCATAAAATCAAACTGATCAGCCTTCTTGCTGTTCTTCACACAAGGTACTCAATCTTCCACCTTTGTGCCTTTTTATTGGCCTTATTCCAAAAAAGGAATATACTCCTCCCTCACACTCACTTTATAGAATCTTTCACTTTCTTTAAGAAGTAGCACCAACTACTGCATGATGAATCCCTCAAATGCCTAGCATTCGCCCTCACTATCTACCTTACACAAGGTGTTCCAAAAGTCTTAGTGCAGTTTTAAGCTTTCATACTCCAATGCCATACTCTAGTTATTTAGTTATAGCTACTAAAACCTAAATCTGCATTAAGCCTTTTGGAACACCCTGTTCACATCCTATATTTATTTCATCTTATTCTACATATATTTGTTCTAGATATACTTATGTATATACACTATTTCTCTTGACAGAATGTAAACACTTTGAGAACAAGAATTGTTTCAGTCAGTTGATCACTAAGCATTTATTAAATGCCTACTATGTCACAGGCACTTTCAGTATCATAATCTCCAGCACCTAGGACAGCATCAGGCATTTATTAAGTGCTTAATAAATGCTAGTTGACTGACTGACTGATTGATTAGTTCTGAAGTACATGAAGAACAACCAAAGGAAGCCAAACTACACAGCTGTCAGTCACAGATGAGGCAAGCACTGGACCAGGGGAATCACAGCCAGGGAGGAGTATGAGTGCGTTTTGCAGACAGAGATAGAAATAACACTGAGGTAATGAACTTGGGAGGTTTAAAAAATGGTGATGCCTTTGACAGAAATAAACAACCCTGAAAATGGCCATGGAAAGCATTTTATGTGTAACAGTTTAAGAGCAAAATAAAAGTGAGTATTTAATAACTATCCTGATTTGGGACATCATTTTCATAGTCCCAAATCAGTCAAATAATTTTTTATCTTCTGAAGGGCTAATTTCTACTTATAAATTTTATAAGAGGCAAAAAACGGAATTCCAACAATTCTTCCACCAAAGTTAAAACTGTAAGTTCTGTTTGAATATCCACATTTGTAAATAAAAACCCTATACTTAAATTAACTCTAGTGGCTACTTATTGCCTCCAAGATAAAATGCTTTATTTGGCTAGTCCTTTCATACCTTACTTCTCCTCCACATACTCTGCAGTACAGTGACACTGGCTGCCTTCCTGGTCTTGGAATACAACATCACATCTCTTGTCTCCAGGCATTTCACTGAATGTCTTACCATGCGTGGAACTCTCTCCATTCTCATCTTCTCCTTGCTTTCCTGGCTTCCTTCAAACTTCAGCTCAAGTTCCACTTTCTGCAAGAAGTCTTTCCCAGTACTCCTTAACTTTAGTGCTTTCCTTATGAGATTATCTCAAATTAAACCTGTATACATCTTGTTTGTACATAGTGCTTTATGGACTCCTTTTTGCCTTTCTTTATATCCCTAGAAATTAGCACAGTGCCTAACACATAGTAAGCATTTAGCAAATGCTTGTTATTGACTTGAAAATATTTCTGCTCAAAAATGCTTTCTGAAATACTGAAGAACTATAAAAACAGATGACTCAGCAAATCACATGAAAATACAATGTTCTTGAGAATATTATCTTGGCTCAGCAAGATTATAGCTCTTATATATAGATTACAGGCAAAGTATATACTGTTTACATCCTTAGTTGACAGCAGGAAAATACTGCCCAAATTAGATATAGATAGATATAGCTATACTGATATATCAATTTATAAATCATCCTTGAGGAAGGAGGTAGACATTTCCTATTTCTAATCTTACACTTGAACAGAGATTATTTTCTGTTCCCAAAAAATGCCTGAGGACACAGGGACAATACGTTTAATAACTTGAAAAGCTTTAAAATACAGGACTTCTGGTCACCATATGCTACATCAAAGTCTAGACTATCAAAATCTAAATTATTCCCAGTTTACTACTCTCTAACTGGAACACAGAAATTTTCCAATTCTGTTGTCCTAACTTCTTTAAAATGCACATTTTGGTCACAAGTAGTATTCAATTTTTATTAATAATACTAAAGCAACTTTCAAAGAAAAAAATCTATAATATTACCAATGACCAATCAATGAAAATCCTTCCAAAATATCACAGAATAACAAAAATTACCTTTAATTATGTTTTTGCAAATTTCCCATTGGTGAAAGAAATTTGAAAAAACATAAATTGTCTTGTCTTTATTTTTTTCTGTAATGATTAAACTTACCTGAAATACTTCCTAATAAATCTTTAGTATGACAGCTGAGATCCTCTGTTTCTCCATCTTTAAAACTTCCTATTTCTCCATAATAAAGAGCAACACCTAGCTGCATTATACGAATAAACATTGGGAGTTGTTGATCTGTGATGGAAAGCTTCAAACTCTCGACAAGGGTATGAATCTGAGTAAAAAGAACAAGAAAATAATGGAAAACATGTTTAGAGGGAATGTATTTTTAACAGAAAATATGCATAAATTTCACATCATAATTCTTGAATTACAAAAAAAACCATACAGAGCATAGACCTTAATCTCACTGAAATCAAACTAATTATTTTTTTTCAGGAGCAATGAGTTTTAGATGGAAAACTATGTACATGCAAATGAAAACTTAAGAAATTACATATATCCTGTAACCGAAATACTTGATTTACTATGTTATAAGTAATTATGTCAGTATTCAGCAATAAATGGAAACATTCCTTGTAAAATTTGGGACAGAAAATGTCTCATGATGTCATCTTAGCAAAATTTTTATATGACTGCCATTGATAGTTTTGTTCCATAAAGAATATGTACATATCCTAAAGACATACGTAAGCAAAGAAAATACTAAAATCACAGCTGTGGAAACACTGAATAATAAAATACATTAGTCTCAAAAATGGAAAACCAAATGAAGTATACCTTCCAGAATGTTTTCAGAAGTAACTTGAATAATTAATAGTTTTAAACATAAGCTAAATATTATTATCTAATATCGATCAATGACAGGAAAGAAAGAGGATGAATTGCCAACAAGATGGATATAAAGTTGCCAAAAAATAAATCCTTAAGGAAAAAAGAATATCAATGGAAATGTTGGAAATGAAACTAGCTAAACATTAAAGGTCTGATTCTCAAAAAAAAAAATTATATACATATATATTTCTACTATCTGCTGAAGTATCTATAAAACATGGGGAAGAAAGAGCAATGGACACTTAATTTTAAGACAAAAATCATAAAATTTTAAAAGGAATAAATGAAGAAGGAAACAACTTCAAAAGGGAAGAGAATTAAACATCCTGAATTTCAACTTCTTGTACACATGCTTAAAAATCCTATGACAGTAACTTCGCCATGCTCCTAAGCTCCCTCAAGTTAGAGATTCCTCTGCTAATACATTTCTGATTGAGACTTCAATCATTCAGTCTCTACCTCTGAACCACCCAGAAGATGTTCTAGCCTTAATTTACTGAGAAGACTGCTGGCCATTTGAAGAGTATTTCTTTATTTCACCTTCCACCGCACCTAAAATCCTCTCCTCCTTTCCCCTTCTCTCAGGCAGATAATAAGGATGGTCTACAAGTAGAGAAAACTTTACGTGAAACACGAACTAGATTTAATTTGACCCAAGGGCAGAGCTAGAAAAGATGGTTAGAAGTTAAAGAGACAAATAGGTTCCATACAGGGAAAATTTTCCTAACAAGTGAACTTATCCAAAAGTAGAATTGATCTAAGTTATGCATCCCTTATGGTCATCCAGCTAGGGACTGAAAAACTGTTGTTGGGTATAACAACAACAATAACACTTCTTCTCCCTACTATCACTTTTAGGTTCTACTCCTTCCTCCTTCACTCATTAACCTCTCTTCCTTTGAGGTTCATGCTATTCATATCTACTACCCAATCAAAATCCTGGAGGCTGTTCTCTACAGATCCCCAGGTCACTCTCCTTTCTCAGTGAGTTCTACACCTGGCTAATAATTTTCCTTTCAACTCCAACTTCTGTCCTCATACTAATGAATTTCAACATACCTACTGACTCTTTCCAATACCCTAACTACTCAATTCTTCAACCGCCTCACTTCCAAAGACCTACTACTTCACCCCATCTCAACCACAAGAATGGTCATATCTTTCTTTGATCTTGCCATCACCCACAAACGTACCATTTCCATGTTCAAAAATTCCAAAATCTCCTCAATCAATCATAATCTATTGACTTTTGACCTCTCCCTCTGCATTCCCTTAAAAAAAACCCTACTATTCATCTACCCCATAACCTTCAATCCTTTGACCCCTCAATTTTCTCCTGGGCCATCTGCCCTGCACAAGCCACTCTCTCTGTGTTCTCTCTATCTTGACCCCTTGGTGAACCAGTTCAACTCTACACTGTTGTCTTCTCTTGAGTCCCTGGCCCTCTAATATTACCAGTTGCACCCTACCAACTCTCAGGCTTACATCACTCCCACCATCCACTGCCACTTTTGCTCCTATACACATGCTGCTGAACAAAGGTGGACAAAATCACACAACCATTCTGACTGGGTCCACAATATTTATGTTATACAAGTTCAACTGGGCTCTGACTGCTGTTAGGCAATCCCAGTATACCTCCCCTATCAACTCATTATTCCACTCTCCACAGCAACTCTTCCAAACCTTTTCATCCCTCCTCAAACCCTCCATGGCTCCTCGTCATCCCACTCTTGGCTGAAAACCCTGTCTCATATTTTACAGAAAAAAGTATAGCCATTTACAATGAACTTCCTCTTTTCCCCTCTTCCTCACCTCCTATCACTCACATGTCTTCTACTACTATCTCCTCCTTCACTCCTGTTTCACATGGAGAAATGGCCTTACTCCATACCAAGGCTAACCCCTCTACCTGCACAAGCAATCCCATTCCATCCCATCTCTTCTAACAGACTGCCCTCCTCTGTCTCCCCTGTTTATCACTTACTTTCAATCTCTCCCTGTCTACTGGCTCATTCCCTATTTTCTATAAACATTCCCATGTCTCCCCCATCTCCAAAAACCCTTGCTTGATCCTTCCATTCTGCTGTCTTCCTGTATCTTTTCTGCCCCTTGCAGCTAAACTTCTTGAAAAGGCTGTCTATAATAGATGCCTCTACCTTTTCTCCTCACACTCTCTTTTTTGTAAGAAGCTTCTAGTTTCAGATCTTATCATTTCACTGAAACTGCTCTCTCCAAAGTTACTGATGATCTCTTAACTGTCAAATACAACAGTCTTTTCTCAATCTTCACGCTCCTTGACCTCTCTGTAGTCTTTAACACTAATGATCTCCCTCTTCTCCATGATACTCTCTTTTCCAGGTTTTCAGGGCACTACTCTCTCCTGAATCTCCTCCTATGTCATCTCTCCTGTTTCCTTTGGATCTTCCTCCAGATCATACCTGGAGGTCTTACCTTACCATCTTTCTAATGTGCTTACTATGCAATATTTTGCACTAGAGTAATTCAGCCCAACCAAAAGGCAACCTCCATGAGGGGAGGGATTATACCCTATCTAAACTTTATACCTCCCCCAGCACAAGTCCATACACATGGAAGGCACTTAATAATTAAACATCCAGAAGCTTTGGGGAACTAGACATTGCAGTGGAAATGAGCTACATTCTACTTCCAACAAGAGTTTCCTTCCAATTTCAAAGATGTAGATACAAAATGTCTGTGTGCTAAAAGGAAGTGACTACCACAAAGAGATCAAAAATGAGCAATCAATTGCAAAAAAAGCCAACAGATACAAATTACAACAAATTCTATAAACAGATTCAAAGTCAAAAACATCTCACATGAGCAGAGTGTAAAAAAAAAGAATAAAAAAAAAGAACCACTGGTCATACATTAGGTTTTTTAAACCAAACCTGCACACAACAAACCCTACAACAGAATTCAATGAATGAAGGGGAAAAAAAAAATTCAACAACAACACAGCAACATATATTACTGAAGCAAAGAAGAAAAGGCAAATGATGTAGGGGAAAGAATACTGGATTTGGAGTCAGATGACCTGGGTTCACATCCTAGCTCAGATACTTACTGAGTGATCTTGAAGTCACTAAACCTCTTGGTCTTCTTTAAAGTTAAGCTCAAGAGGCGATCTCTGTGATTCTTTGCAATTCTAAATCTATTATTATATGATCCCAAAATTATTGACAGCAATTTCCGAACCTCCATATCTTTAATATTCCTATTGCCTGGAATATTCTTCCTTGCAAATTTGACAATTAATTTCTATACACCATTAAAAGGTTTACTTCAAATAACACCTTTACTGTGAAAATTTCCTTTCTTGACAAGCTTAGAAATCACTTCTTCTTTAATACCAGGAAACTTCCCTACCACTATTTTTAGAGTAATTACTATGTTCAAACTTGTAGCATCTATCTCATATTTCTATACACAGATGTCTTATCTCCCATAATAGACTTTAAGTTCCTTAAATACAGGGATGATGATAATGATATGGTGTTAGTTACAATATCTACTAACAACAATTGAGGTTTCTATAGGGCTTAAAAGTTTGCAAAGTGTTTTATGAACATTATTTTATTTGATCCTCATAACAATACTTAATTTCAAGATGAAGAAATGAAGAGCCAGAGATACTAATAATAATAGCTGATATTTACAGAGCATTATAAACATATAATATTTAAATATAAGTTGCAATGTGCTTTTGATGAATTCATTTGATCCTTACAATAACCCTGTGAGACAGGTGCTATTATTTATTAGAGATAAGAAAAATAAGGTTCAGAGGGCAGCTGCTGACTGTGTAAGGCAAAATTCAAACTCAAGTCTTCTAACACCCAATCCTCCATTCTACCTACTAACCCACAATACCTAATCATCTCATATTGTTTTATTTTCTAAAAGTAATTTCATGTACCTTACGGTATTTGGTCTTTAAAACAACTTTAAAAATTGGGTAGAACAGGTTTGTTATATGCATTTTATATACAGAATAACTGAGGCGCAGAGAGGTTAAGTGCTTAGCTAAAATTCACACATCTAGTAGGGAAGCATCAGGACTTGAGCAGTCAAATCCAACAGTCAATGTCAATTAGAAGCAGCTGGTGATGCAGTAGGTACAAGTCCTGGGCCTAGAGTCAGGAAGATCTAAGTTCATCTCAAGCCTCAAACACTTACTAGCTATGTGACCCTGAGCAAGGCACTGTACCTCTCTTTGCCTCAGTTTCCTCATCAGTAAAATGGACATAACATTAGTACCTATCTCCCAGGGTTGTTGTAAGATCAAATGAGATCATATTTGTAAAGTACTTAGCACAGTGCCTGGCAGATAGTAGTGCTATATATGTTAAGTGTTTGTTATTATTATTACTACTACCTAAAGAAGTTGACTTGATGTACTCAGGGAACAAAAATGTCATCAAAATGTCACATAACATCAAGAAAGTACTTACTGAAAACAACAGAAAACATTATCCTATTATAATAAGAAACCAACATGTATAAGCACCTGGCCACTGTAATTTAGTTTTTATAACTGAATCTGAGGAGATATGGCTGCCAAATAAAAATGACAAAGGGTGAATAAACTCATTCAGATTAGAAAGATTAGGGCTCCTTAGCTTGGAACAACCACGGATAAGACAAGCTATGAAGTATATAAAATCACAAAAAGCCTGAATAGAGTGAAAATGGATATTTTACCCAATAACAGTACTCTGGAACTAGAAGCCATTTCTTGAACTTGGACAAAGTTAAATTTAGGACAGATGAAAGGAAGTATTATCTCACACAAAGCATCCAAAATCTGGAGAATTTATTACCCATAAGATGAATATGCTGAAGATAAAAATGCACAAAGGGGTTAGAAAAACATATAACAGAGCTATAGTGAACAATCTCAAGGCTTTAGAGTCTTCAACAAAGACGACAATCATGCCTTCTGATAACCCTAGCTCTGGGACTACAAGAGGTACAACAATGAAATCTAAACCAACACAGCCATTCTGTGTCTTTAAAGATCTTTCAGTGAAAGTCTATTGACTTGACTTGATTTCAGATGAACCTGAGCTCATCTAAATGAAAAGGAGACAAGTGACACTGATGTACAAAGCTGGCTGATACAAAAAGAATAAAAGTGCATGCTCTGCCCCCAATGGTTACTAAGTATAAATATGGAAATAAAATGTCACAAGAACACAAATGACCTGATTTACATGCCTGCTGGAACAATAGCTAACAATTTCCCTGTTTCATCCACATTCTCAGGTGGCTAATTAAATCTGCACTGAACATCTGAATCAAAGTAAGTTTTTTGCTAACACAGAATTGCTCCAGTATCTAGATTCATTTTTAAAAGACCTCTTTGATTTGCTTTTACCTACTCCAATTCTACTTACCAGTCTATCTTTAAATTGAGAGTACATATATTAGAGGCTAGGATAGACAGGGAATGGTTTTTAAGGATAATCTTACTACATTAAGATTAAATTTACCCACATAAATTATTTCCAAAACTAATATTATGAAAAAATTAAGGACTTTAAAGAAATGATTGCCATACAAAGCAAAAAAACAAAAAAACTAAATTAAAATTTTAAATGACTGACCACCAACCCAGAAAAACAGGAGGGTCTCATATATAAATGTAAACTTAGTTATGTTAATGCTATTCCATATACTCTGCCATATGATTTGTGGTTATCCAAGATTCATTAAAAACTTTCTTATATAATAAAACATAATGTAAAACTCATTATTATTATTATAACATCCATGCCCTTCAATACTATGGGTCAGTCTATGTAAGCATTTCCATTAAATAACTTTTCTTGTGAGAAGCTAGTAATTAGCAGTAAAAGTTCACTTCATGTTAAAACTCGACATATAAGATCTCAAACTTCTAACCAAATTTTTTTGCCAAATTAAAAAATATCAACTTTAAGTTACCAAGAGGATTTTAGGCTTTTAGGTTCACAGCACATGTTTAAAGGACATACAGACACTGTGTAAAGTAATAGTTCTAAATGCTGTCAAAGGTCATTGCCTGAAAAATAAGGGTTTTAGTGACATCATAATGGATTGAGTACTAGACTGAGAATCAAAGAGAGCTGGGTTCAAAACCCAACCCAAACACTTACTAGCTATGTGATCCTGAGCAAGACACTTAACCTGTTTGTCTCAGTTTCCTCATCTAGAAAATGCAGATAATTATGAAGATCAAATAAAACGATGTAGGAAAAGTGCTTACAAAGCTTTAAGTGTAATATACATATCAATAGTCATTTTAACATTAGCGCATTATAAAGGCAAAATAGATCAGTGCGATGTGGCAGACAAAAAGCTAATGGTTTCTTAGGCTGCCTTAAGAAAAACAGTGTCCAGAGCTAAGGAGGTAATAGTATCGTAGTACTCTACTACGCCCAAACAATATCCAACATTGTATCTGGTTCTGATTAACACATTCAAACCAGAAGACTATTAAGCTGGAGAGCACGCAGAGAATGGTGACCAGCATGATGAGTGACCTCAAGATCATGCCCTATGAGGGTCAAGTGAAGGAAATAGGGATACATGGCCTAGAGAAAAGAAGAAAGGGAGAAAGGAAGAAAGGGGAAAGTGACAGGCTTTGAAGCAGCTGTAAGTCAGGTTCTGCTTGGTCCCATAGAGCAAAGCTAGAAACAATGGGTGGAAGCTACAAAGAGGAAAATTTAGATTTAATATAAGTAAAAACTTCTTTAAAACTGGAATTCTCCAAAAGTAGAATGAGCTGCCTTAGGAGATGCAATACAATTCACTAACCATTTATTAAACACCTACTGCTTTTGTCAGGCACTATGAATTCAAACATAAATATGAATTCCTTCCTATCTTCAAAGAAGGCCACATGGTATAGTGGAATAGGGGCGGGGAGCGGGGGGATCCCCCGCACTGAAACAGGGCACAAGAGAGGGAAAATAAATGACACAAGTACACATAAAATTAAATACAAAGTAGTTTCTGAGAAAGGGGACTAGAAACTGAAAGGACCAAGATAGTCTTCCTGCAGGAGGTGACATTTAAGCTAAATGTCTGAAAGAAGCTAGGAAGCTAGGAAGTCCATGAAGCTGGGGTAACAGAATGTCTATCAGAATTTGGGGACAATCTATGCAAGAGCAAAGATAGGAAAGATGCAATGCCATGTACAGGAATCACCAAATAGCATAGTTTGGCCAGAACATGAAGGGGAACACATACAAGACTCATCTCTTATGTAAAGAAGAGGAATAGTTTTGGCATCTTGTACATGTCTTTTTTGCACATAATTGTTTACATATTATCTCTTCCATTAGACTATGAGCTCCTTGAGAGTAGGGACTGCTTTTTGTCTTCTTTGAGTCCCTAGTGCTTAGCTCAGGTCTGGCACATAACAAGCACTTAATAAATGGTTGTTGATTTGACTTGAACTGTGAAATTTCTCCTGTCTATTTTAATTTATTTTTATCAAATTTTAAAACAATCAAAATGTTATGAAAAGTAACAAAATGTCATCATCCCCAGCCCTGCCCTGAGGCCTTTTAGGCCCTACCATCTGTCCTGTGGTTCACCATCCTTTAATGTTATCTCCATCAATCAAGGTGTGTGCAAGGATTTGTTTTGGCTTTCTATTTTTATCTTCAGCATTTAGCATGATGCTTGCCATATAGTAAGCACTTACTAAATAAATGTCTTTGAATTGATTCTCTCAATCAGTAATTAGGCTGCTATCTTTAACTGGTGCTACAAAATATGAAAAGCAATTCATGCCACTTTTTTAAAAAAAGGACTTGAAGCAGAAACTCCTCAGATGTCATTAGAAACACCTGTACAAATGTGTTATCTGGTAAATACCAACCTGGATCACTGGAATTTTGGAGTGAAAGAATAATCACTCAAAAAGCATATATTAAGACATAATGTATCACCTGTCCAAGAGAAACTCACCATTATCTCAATTTTAAATGATTGTATAACTATTCAAATTTATATATTTATATGGACATAGGCCAAGTCAAAACTAACCAAAGTAACTATGTTTTTCAAAAGAAATAAAATGTAGAAAGGTAACTACTGAAATGCTTTTCTTAAAAACTAGAAAGTAAAAAATGTATGGTTATAAGCTAAAAAAATAAGAAAGCCAGACAAAGACATGCAACACTTGACTACTGAAGTTTAAAAAAAAAAAGGCACTATTTGTGGCACCTACTTTAATAACTGACGGCATCTTGGAATTCAGGTTATCATAAGTAAAATGAAGTCGAGTTCTGAAGGAACATTTGTACAGCAAAGGATCCTGGTAAAACTCAATTTTACCACTAGCATTCCTCTTATCAAGACAAACTGTGCAGTCAGAAAAATTTATAACCTTCCGCAGTACCAGGTCAGTTGCTAAAAAGAAAAAAGGAAAACATTTTTAAGCTAAAGTTAATTATAGAATAAAGCATTTTTTTAGATGAGGCAAATGGGGTTAAATGACTTGCCCAGGGTCACATAGCTAGTAAGTGTCAAGTGTCTGAGGCCAGATTTGAACTCGGGTCCTCCTGACTCCAAGGCTGGAGCTCTATTCACTGCGCCACTAGCTGCCCCGAATAAAGCATTTTTAGAAAGGAAAATGGTAACTTTGATAAGTAATTCAAAATCACAAATTAAAGACAAAAATATGGAGATTATTTTAACTCTAGTTCCTCTCACTGGTTTTATTTCAATAGCTAAAGTATCCTAGTCCACTCAGTCAAGGTACAAGGTTTTCATCCCCATAAGAGTGGTAAAGAACTCAGGCAATCTTCTAACATTTCAAAATCCAAAAAGAATTAAAGTTGGTGATGAAACCAAGGACTTACACATATGTATGGGATCATGCCTATTTTATTGGTGATCCTTACCACATACTTACACATATATTCTACATCTCATTCAATAGATATACACAAGAAGAGATAAAAAAGAATATATAAACTAATACTATTCTGAAATTTACAAATTTTGTAAATGTACTCAAAGATAGGGAATATAATAAAAGAACTAGAAGTAGAAGAAATCTTGAGAGATTTTCTGTGTTTTCTCCTCTTTATTGAAAATCACTACTTTTCAATGTTTGAATACTAAATAACCAATAAGAATCCAAACTTTTTCCCCGTAAAAATATAACAAAAAGCTTTAACCCTAGACCTTTTTTGTGTGTGGAGTATCCAACAGCTAGAATTGCACCAAAGTCCTTTTAGTCGTTCCTCTAGCAACAGTTATATAGCACTCCGAAATTTGCAAAGCATTTTCCATATATCACCTCTTTCAAGCTTCAGAACAAGCATCTGAGGTAAATGCTAGGTATTATTCCTATTTTATAGATAAGGAAACTAAGGATCTAAAATATATGACTCTCATGATCACAGTTATTAAATATTAGACTTCAGATTTCAACCCATCTCCCAATTCAATATCCAGTACTTTATTCATTACCAAACAATGACTAATAAGTATCATATTGTTTTATGATCCTGAAAGCACTTTGACATGTGTCATTCAGGAATCTTTAAAATGTGATTTGTATAAGTGATACTATTATCTCCATTTTACATATGATAAAACCGAGACACTAAGAGGTCATATGATTAAACTAAATGGACCAAAGTAAGTGCTGCTGGTGTCAGGAAATTACCCTGTAACTCCTGACTTTTCAAATAATGAATGACTGATTATTCAGTTCCTATATTATCCAGTTTTGTTTTGTTTTCCTACATCTACACCTATATCTTAATCTTTTGGGGCATTTCAATGTTTGTTAGCACCTTTCCTAGAATAATGGAAGGAGTGGAAAGAGAAGAAATTCAAATGAATTCAAAATGGCTTTAGTTTGAAAAATGTAAAAATTTAAGGTATAGAAAAATAACACCTAAGAAGAGGCTTCAAGATGATTCATTATTTAATTTTACACATATGCACGCACACACACACACACACACCCCTTTGCCTCCATTAGGATACAACCAGATGAGTCACTCCTATTACTCAGTTACAGAACTTATGGAATTAAACTGACAATGTATTTTACCTTTAAAATCACCAATTAACAAATAAATATAGATCACCTTTGAGATACTCAGAGGACAGATGGGAAAGAACAGAAAATGAAAAAGCTATCTCATATGCAAATTTTACATCTCTCCCAACATCTAGAACAGTGCTCCTGCACACAGCAGGTGCTTGACAAATGGCCATTAACTGATAAATTATATTTTAAAAATTAAAATGCTACAATTTTTACACAAAAAGGAAAACAGCTATTGAAGTTTACTCACCAGAAATGTCCATGAATGCTCGATCCCAAAATTCATCTACTGTATAGCACTCTGCAGATGTAATGTTGACTGAAAGAACAATATCATCCTCCACATATTTTAATATGAGATTATTTATAACAATATTGACATTGTTTACAACTCGTCTAATCAAGCTCTGCACATAGCCTGAAAAACGAAAAAAAGGAAAAAGAAATTCAATTATCCAGATGTCTTTTATTGAATTTTCCTGCATTCTTGCATATAACTTCCTAGAAGAGAAAATTCTTCAATTAAGACGTAGATAATCTTCCCCAGGATGATGAAACAGAGAACCAAAGGAAAATAAGGACTACAGGTTTAAAATACAAGGTAAAAAACTCCACTACATAAACACTATATAAATAATGTATGTTCATGTTCTTTTCTCTAACAAACTGTGCTTCTTTGACTTCATTATAATAGATTTTTTATGACGAATAAGCCTTGATCATTAATCTTATATCTTTATTTTCACATATACATTCTATGATCATTCAGTATAAAGTAAGAATGTGAGTAGGTACTGAGTTATTTATTAGAATAGGAGGTCCTGTAGAACAGATATTGTCTTTCTTTATATTGCCAATATTTAGCAGAGTGCCTATCTGGAATTCCCTACCAAGCATCAGCAGTCTTCTCACCCTGAAACTTCACTCAATGGACATCTTTCTACTCCTCTACTCCCTTCCTCTCACTGGTAAGTTCCTCCTGAGGTTTCCATCTTGGGGAGAAGCCCAAGCCAGTCAACATTAATTCCTCCCCCAGCTCTGCTTCTCTCTCTCTCTCTCTGGTTTTGCCATCATCCTCCCCCTCCTCTACATTGCAACTTCCTTTGATGTATTGCCTTCTCCTATTAGAATGCAAATTCCTTTTAGAACAAGGAACATCCTTTTTTTTTTTTTTTGCTTGTATTTACATCCTCTATGCTTGGTTAACACAGTGCCTGACACATAGTGAGCCCTCAATAGATACTTGTTAAGTGTGTTTTTATGGTGTAACAGAAAAGAAGAGGTGGCCTATAACAAAGCTATTTATATTTGTTTAATTCAATTCCTCTCACTTTTTTCCTCTAAATAACCTAACAACAAAATCAAAATTATTCAGGAGCTTGGAGGAAAAAGAAGGAGGTGAGGAAAGTGTGTATAGAATGGTGGGTTCACACTCCCAAATTTACTAAAACAAAAAGTCATTGAATCTGTTTCTAATATAGGTTCTATAAAATTATAATCTATAAAATGGCTATTAATTCATAGTAGCAAAATTATTTAAAAATAAACCAACCTGGATGCTCCCAAATGAAAATTTTAAAGGAATTTTAACACTAGGATATGATTATAATAGCTATTCATTCATTCAATCACCACTTATATGCTAAACGTTATACTAGGCACTAGAAGAGGTATACAATGATAATGAAGAAGTGATCTCTGCCTTCAGAGAGCTAAGGGAAGAGGGAAGGGAACAAGCATTAGATAAGCAAGAATTAGTTGCAGGCCAAAAAAAAAAAAAAGTAGCCAAATGTTTGATCTAACCCAAGAATGTAAATTTCAAGCACAAGGACCTCTTGTTTGACAAGAACTGTTGGGAAAAACAGCAAGTAGTTTGGAAGAAATTAAGTTTAAGCCAAAATGTTATACATGTTCATGTGACCATGTATTAAGGTAGAAGCAAACAATTCAAATGCTATAAGGTCAACCCACAGATCACAGAACAATTAGAGGTGAAAGGAATCTGTGAGACTACCAGTCCAATTATCCTAATTTTAAATATCAAGAAACTGAAGCTAGGAAAGATTAAGGGACTTGCTAAAGGTCACTGAGTTATTAAATGGGAAAGTCAGAATTTGAACCTCTGTCCACTAACCCATGCTGTTCACTCTCTACTACCTCCTCACCCTCCGGACTACAGTATCTCTACAATGGCTGCTGGTCACCAGAGAATAAACTTACTGACCTCATTACTTGATGGTTAGCATAATCTGACAGGGCAGACACTGTACAAATATCACTTCATAGTCCACTCCCCACTGTAAGCACTTTTGTTTCAAGCCACCTCCATTAAATCTCCTCCTTTAACTTTGCACTCCAAATCCACCTGCCACTTCCACTGTGCTGTCTAGAATGCCTGTTGCACTGATAACAAATTTGCTTTCACTTTAAACCTTTCTGTGTTTCACTCCTTCCAACTTCCATTTACTGAGATCTGGCTCCCTCCTAAACACAAAAGTATCCTGGGCTACTTTTTCCAGCACTGGTTGCAGTTATATTCATAATGACCCCAATTCACTGGTCATGGTGGGAACTGGAATATTTCTTGTTCTCCACTACTACTTCTAGGCTCTCCTTCCACCACCAACACTCAGTAACCTTTCCTCTTTAGGGGTTCATTCAATCCATATTTATCAGCAAATCAAGATTCTGGTAACTATTTACTTATTTACCATGACTATTCCTCTACCCCACTTCAGATATATAAAGGGACAGTCAAGTCAGGAAGCAATTAGTAAGCACCTATTAGGTACTATGCATAGTCCTAAGCAATGGGGATATAAAGAATGGCAAATAAAAAAAAAATCATGCTCTCAAGAAGCTTATAGTCTAATACAGGAGAAAACTTGCAACGAGCAATGTATAAAAAAGATATATACGAGAAAAACTAGAGAAAATCAGAGGAGGCCCTAGCATTTAGGAGTATCAAGTGCAATTTCCTGAATTCATTAAAAGAGGTAAAATGCATCGATAAACAATAAAAGGAACATGGATTAGTATAGAGGCACTTTTCAGGTAAGACATACTAGAGATGTACAACTGTGAGAGAACTCCTTGCACCAATCTTTGGGTGTGACTGGATTTCTGGTCAGCAGAACCTAGGTCTCTAGTTAAGGATCTCTAAACAGCAGGCAGAGGTAATCCAGCTTCCCAGTCACACAGGGCTAGGGTCAAACAATACAATAAGGTTGTCTCCTAATTCCCACATTTAAATAAAGTTTTCTCACGAGGCAGAAATTGGACTAGACCTATAACTGAATAGAAAAGGACTCCAGAGCTGAGACACAAGATGGAAGTCAGTATGGTTCACTCAATTCCCACCCTACTTGCTGTCCTAATCCCTTCAATTCCCTCAGGAAGTTAGCATAGAGATTAGGGCAGGATTGGAAGACATGAGAATCATCAACATAGAGATGGTAATTATATCCAAGGGAGCTGAAGAGATCACCAAGTATAGAGGGAGCAGAGAAGACTACACAGAAGAGAGGGCTGTGGGACATCAAAGGTTAGAAGGCATGATCTGAATGAAGATTCAGCAAAGGAGATTAAGGAGGAATCATCAAGTAGGCAGAACCAGGAGAGAGTGGTGTCCTGAAAATTCAGAAGAGAGTGATCAGCAGTGTCAAAGACTACAGGGAGGTCAAGGAGAATGAGGAATGAGAAAAGGCCGTTGGATTTGACAATTAAGCGATCATTGGCAAGGTTGGAAAGAGAATTTTTGGTGGAAGAATGAGGTCAGAAGCCAGATTTTAAGTGGATAAGAAGAGAATGAGATGAGAGAAAGTGGAGGCATCTATTGCAGACAGCCTTTTCAAAGTGTTTGGCAGTGAGATGGCACAGTGGATAGAGCACCGGCCCTGAAATCAGGAGGACCTGTGTTCAAATCCGGCCTCAGATCAAACACTTAACACTTACTAGCTGTGTGACCCAGGGCAAGTCACTTAACCCCAATTGCCTTTAAAAAAAAAAAGTGTTTAGCCACAAAAGGAAGAAGAGACATAGGACAATAGTAGAAATGGAAGGATCTAGTGAAAGTTTTTGAGGATGGGGAAGACATGAGAATGTTTACAGGCAGTAGGGAATGAGGCAGTAGACAGGAAAAGATTAAAAATAAGTGATAAATGAGATGGCATGGGGACAATCTGTTGGACAAGACAGGATGGAATGGGATTGCTTGTGCAAAGATAGCAGGGTTAGCCTTAGTAAGGAGTAAGGCCATTTCTCCATGTGAAACAGGGAGTGGAAAATGGCATCTGAATGACAGAAATTAAGAAGATGGAGGAATATATAGCTCACAGTAAAAGGTCTCAATTTTTTCTGTAAAATATGACACAAGATTTTCAGCTCAAAATGTGGAGAGAGGAGTCATGGGAGGTTTAAGGAAGGATGAAAAGGTTTGGCAAAGTTGCTATGGAGAGTGGAATAGTGAGTTGATAAGGTAGGTATACTGGGACTATCTAGTAGTTGTGAAGACCCAGTTGAGCTTTTGTGACATAAATTTACAGCAGACCCAGTCACAACAGTTGCGTGATTTTTCTCCACCTTTATTCAGCAGCATACGTGTAGGAACAAAGATGGCAGTGGATTGTGGGAGTGATGTATGCCGGAGGGTTGGCATGGTGCAACCGGCAACATCAGAAAGCGAGGGACTTAAGAGAAGAGGACAGTTTGGTGAACCAGTTGAAATGGTGCACCAAGAAATCAAGATGAGGGGAAAAAGGACAGTGGCTAGTGCAGGGAAGATGGCTTGGAAAAGAACAGAGGGGTTGAGAGATTGGAGATCAAGGTGAAGACAAAAGAGTAAGAAGTTACTAGTGATCTCTAAATCGCCAAATTTAATGGCCTCTCAAATCCTCATCCTTCTTGACCATCCTCTGACAAATGCTTCTACTTGATAAACTCTTCGATCTACATTTTCATGACACTGCTCTAACCTGGTTAGCTTCTTGCCTGTCTGACTGCTCCTTCTCAGATTCCTTTGCTGGACCTTCATCCAAGTCATGCCAGCTAACTATGGGTGTCCCACTGGACTATGTTCTAGGCTCTGTTCTCTTCTCCCTCTGTACTATTTTGTTTAGTAATCACATTAACTCTAATAGTTATCTCTATGCTGATGATTCTCAAATCTACTTGTCTACTCTTAACCTCTTTAATGACCTCCAAACTCTCATCTCCAATTGCCAATTTATGCGAAACTGCATGTCGCATAGAAACGTGACTGAAACATGTCCAAAAATGAACTTATTATCATTCCCTAAAAAAAACTTCACCCCTCTTGAACTTCCCTATTACTATCAAAGGTACCACCATCCTCCCAGTAATTCAGGCACAACCTAGGTATCATCCTTGACTCCCCACTCTATATCCAGTGAGATGCTA